GCTTGTTTGCTTTGTTCTGTTAGAAATGTAATATAATTTGACTGGTTGTTCTGACACGACAAATAAATCTGGGCCCGAGGAAGGTGGGCCGCTGCCTTCCTGGGACCCAGAGAGCAGCCTGGGAGAAAAACATGCCACCGCCACTTGGCAATGACATGTTTTTCCCCTCTTCAGGATCCAGGAAAAGCAGGTCACTGCCTTCCCGGGGCCCAGAAGAGCGAGGGAGAGTAGTGGCAGTGACATGTTTGTCTCCCTGGAAATAGACTCGCCTCTTCCAGCCCCCGTCCCACCCTTCTGCCCTGGCTCTGCCTCTTCCAGCACTGGCTCTGCCCCTTCTAGACCTGCCCATGCCCCTTCCAGCACCAGCCCCCACCCCTTCCAATTCACAAGTCCATCCCTTCTGGTCCCATCCACACTCCCTCCCGGCCTAGCCCTTGTAGCCTAGCCCACAAGGCGGATCCAGGGCAAAAAAAAAAAAAGCCCATGCCTGATCTATACTTTAGAATTGATTCAGCCTGATGCCACTTTAACTGCCTTGGTTCCAATGCTGTGCAACTGGATTAATTCTGCAGTGCAGACGCATCCTTTGTCTGCATTGAACAGATTAAGTATCAGATTTGAACAGATTAAGTATCAGAAAAAAACCATGAGAGGGAAATGTAGCAAACATTAATGATACAGAAACACCGCCATTTGGTGTGTATTTGGAAAGATTGAATAAAATATGGCAATTCCAGCATGCTAGAGTTGAGAGTTACTGAAAACTAAGTGTGACCTGAAATCTGGAAGATCCATTGGGTGAAAAGGGTGGATAGGGTGAGGAGTTGACACTCTCTCCAATGAGGCAGATCTTCTAGGCTTATTTTGCTGAAAGGGTTCAAATAATTCTTCAGCCATACACTATTGACCACCCCTGCTGATAGCCATAGAAACATGTCAGGTGTGTTTTTTTAACTGGGTATTTGGATCTCTCTGTTTGTTTATTTTATTTATTTATTTATTTACAGCCTTTATATTCCACCCTTCTCACCCTGCAGGGGACTCAGGGCGGATTACAGTGTACACATATATGGCAAACATTCAATGCCAATTTTTGACATACAAACATATACAGACATACACAGAAGCTATTTAACTTTTTCTGGCCACCAGGGGAGCTGTCACTTTCATCGTCCATCTGCGATGCTGATGAAGCACTTACGCATTCCCCGCATGCTTCCCCGCTAGAATGCTTTGCTGGAGTCTTCTTTATGGTCTCATAAATCAGTTAATTTAGCCTCCCCACACTTTAAGGTGGTACCTTATTTTCCTATTTGACAGATGCAACTGTCTTTCGGGTTGCAAAGGTCGACAACAGGCTACACACAATTGGTTGGAAACCCACTCCATCCCGGGCTGGCTTCAAACTCATGACCTTTTGGTCAGAGTGATCTTAATGCAGCTGACACTCAGCCAGCTGCGCCACAATCCCGGTTTATCTGCTAGCGTATATTCCCTAAACTGGGTTTTGTTTTGTTTTGGGGATGTACTCTTGGGATGGACACAATAACCCATGATACGCATCCATACCCACATACGCATTCATTCTCTCTTTCTCTCTTATTTATACTTTTATATTCCCTCATTCAAGTGTTTTAGCTTCAGAAGAATTATTCCAATGCAATATAATATATTTAAGCAACCAGCTCAGAGTCGGATGATCAAATGGTGCAGCCATTCCAAGAATAATTTTTTTGTGGGCAGCAAGCCATTGTATCTTTAAAATCCTCTCAAGTAGCATGGCTGACAGTGTGAAAATGCTTCCATGCAACTGATTATCAACAACATGTTAATATGTAATCTAAAACTGTGCTAAGTACTAGGAACTTGCTGGTTACTATCTCATGAACACATAGAGTCTCCCAGAGATAACTGTCAGCAACAGAATGATGTTTAACAGCTGTTTGCAGAACATGGACTGATCCATATTAATTTAATCTAATAGCCTTCTACCTTCAAAGTGCTCTCGTGGAAACATCATTGAATTCATTAAGCATCTTAATAAGCAAAGATTCATCAAAAGTACTTTGTGAAGTCAACAATACCCTCTCTTTCATTAGATTCTGATTAATCTTCTTTCCTTCATAACCATGACCATCATATTGTTTATGTACAAGATTAATAAAATGGATGCACTTGACACCATCCTTGTATGGGGCTTGTATACATAAAGCTTAGTATTAGTTAGTAATTTAAATCAAATTTCTAGTTCCAATCAGAATAGACCCATAGCCAAATGTATACACTCACTGAATGTCATTGTGACTGGTAGTCAAAGTCCTTATGCATAATTTTGCCAATTATTAATATGCAATATAGATTTCCATATTTCCTTCTATACTATCAAAGCCGGGAGGACAATTTATCGTCTACCCAAACATACTTGGATTAGAATTCCTATGCAAATATAGGGAAAGCTACTTGTTTTGTACTGTATTCCCAGAAGTTCTCAGCAAGCATGCCCAGAGATCACAGTGAAAGGGAAATCCTGATAGTTCAAAAATGTGTTTTATAAATTCTGTTTTCATGATTCTTAGGTATTGCCTACATAGAAAGGGCAGACAGGACTTTCAAACCACAGAGTCTGGAAGGCCACCATCTGATCATCTACTATAAACTGAGGTGCACAGGGCT